ATTATCTGACCAGGACAGTTCTAGTGTGTCACCTGAGGCCCCTCTGAGCGGGAAACTGAGGGCACCTCAGTTTCACACAACAGCAACATATACCACGTACTATGGGGGAACTAAAGAATGTTGGTAGAAAGGTTCCATTGTTATTCAATTACATTTTTCCACCAACTTTTTGAAGTTGCCTCATAAGAAAGCATGTTTTCCACAGATAATAAAAAACATAGCATAGGGACATAAACTCATTGCCAGTGTATTGAAAATGATACAACATTTTTATAATGACTGAAATTAAATATGCTTAATACTCTCCTTGATGACAATGGGATAATACTCATATAAATAATAAGGTGTTAGGAAAGAAAACCAATCAGAAGTGAATCAATAGGTAAATATGAAGAAGAAAGGATACTTTGGGAATTGTAGAGTTGGAAATTACACTTAAAAGATGGGATTAAACCCTAGGAGGATTCAGTCAGATAATGAACTAGTTAAATGAAAGGTAAAGTAATTAGAACTAATATTTATCCGACTTTTAGTTTATGCTTGAAATTGTTCTAAACACTGTGCATGTATTCATTTGATCCTGAAAATATTTTACAAATGAGGGAATTAAGGTACCGTGGTTAAATCATTTGCTTGAGGTTCTATCATAGAATGATTTGATATGGGCATTTTGGCTCCAGAGTCCTCACTAGCACATTATGCTGGCTGAGAAATTAAAGAATAACTTAAGTAAAGGGGAGGTGAGCGTTGGGGTGGTAGAGAAAGAATAGATATGAGATATGAAGGATTGATAAAAGCTGAAATTAATAAAAAAGAAGGTAATAATATAAGCGATATATATATATTTAAAATAGATCGTTTTATTGAGGGCTTTTACAGCTCTTATAACAATCAATATATCAATTGTATCAAGTACATTTGTACATATGTCGCCATCATCATTTTCAAAACATTTTCTTTCTACTTGAGTCCTTGGTATCAGCTCCTATTTTTTCCTTCCCGCCCCCCACGGACCCCTGATAAAATTACAAATTATTATTGTTTTCCCATCTTACACACTCTGCTGTCTCCCTTCACTCGTGTTTCTGTTGTTCATCCCGGGTGAGGTGGTGGGGTGGTGGTGGTGTTATATGTCGATCCTTGAAATTGGTTCCCCCGTTTTTCCACTTCTCTTCCCACCTCATGTTATCATTACTCACATTACTGCCCCTGGGGGTAGGGGGGTCGGGGGCAGTTAATCTGTCCTGGGTTCCATGTAGAAGTGATTTAAGAAAATACACAACAAAATTTATTCTTTGAATGAACTCGTAAGTTAGACGCTGGTGAAGGAAAGAGGAGTGCAAGCACAAACAGCATCAAGGTAGACAAGATATAACCAGGGTTGCCTCAAGCTCATGCGCTGCCTTCGTGGGATTGCAAAGATGTTTTCTTTGGGCAGATACATTCTTGTCTTTGCACAAATTTTAAAAATCACCTTGAGCTGGGCTCCCATTTTGGTGAATAGAATGC